AATTAGTATAGCGAATTACGACATTCAGAAAGAAATGAAGCATGCGCGTAAGGTTTCAACTCGGGTTAGTAAAGACACAAACCTTAAAATCTTAGCTATGGCAATACTATGGCCAACAGCTGTTTGACCATCGCGGAAAAGTCAATAAAACCGAAACTGATTTCCCCGCCCCCAATTAAAAGGTCAAAGGACATTTTCAAGTGGGTGGTGAAAGGACTGTCAAATGTACAACTCAATAATTTGGAAGTGAGCGCACAAAAGCAACGGACTATCCACCTGTTCTTCTATTTTTAGCAACTACCTTGTAAAAATAAACCAACTGAACACAGGAAAGGCATCGCGTTCACTTCGATTTTTCAAAAATTAAAAAAACAATTCCGAAAAATTATATGAAAGTGAAAAATCTGGAAAATCGCCGTCAAAACCAAAGGAGCATTCAATAACTACGCACGTCGTTTGGTGAGGGTTGTTAGCTCAGCGCGGTAGTGACCACGGTCACGGCACTGCCTGTGGTCACAGCAACGCGCCGTTGTTTATTATTCACAAACAAATCTATTGCCCCCAACTAGCGTACAGATTTCCTGTGTACGCATTTGCAGATTGAAGCCCTTCAAGAAAAGTATTGTATTTGATGTTTCTGCGTTACATCTGGACAATTTAACAATTGTAAAAATTTTAATTTTTTGCAGTCCACATTTAAGAGAAAAAAAGCGTTGTAAAATGGATCATAATAATCCGTCGACCGCGACTTTGGCCACAAATGCCGCTGGCAAACGACAACATCAGTCGACATCGCAGCGCAAGAAATCCGGCCCCAAGTTCGAGCTCTCCGAAGCACAAAAAGCCGATATTAAGGAGGCTTTTGATTTGTTCGATACCGAATGCACCGGCTTTATAGAGGTCAAAGAGTTGAAGGTTGCCATCCGTGCCCTTGGTTTTGAGCCGAAGAAAGAAGAGATCAAGCGCATGATTGCCGAAATTGACAAGGACGGCACTGGTCGCATATCTTTCAACGATTTCCTACAATTAATGACCATGAAAATGGCTGAGAAGGATACCAAAGAAGAAATATTAAAAGCATTTCGCCTTTTCGATGATGATGACACCGGGGCAATTTCGTTTAAGAACTTAAAGCGCGTTGCACGCGAATTAGGCGAAACGCTGACCGATGAGGAGTTGCGGGAAATGATTGATGAAGCTGATCTGGATCATGATGGTGTTGTGAATCAGGATGAGTTTTTGCGTATTATGAAAAAGACAAGTTTATATTAATCACGATTTCGTCGAAGACAGGTTGTGGTATGGCACTAAGTGCTATGCGCTTGATTTTGTAGGCGGAAGGCTTCTCGCTACATATTTTTACAATTCTATAAAATATTCAGTTTCTATAATTCTATGAAAGCTATGTTTAGTCTTTAATATTCTATTATATGTACTAGTGTGGATTATAGCCACACAGATTATGCCCTTTTCTTATAACGATATTAGTTTTAACTTATAAATATTATTTCTATAGATAATTTTATGCAACTAAGTTTACTGATACAATAATACCTCTGCTGGACTTATATATTGAACATACATAACTTATAAATATCTCTCCTGGACTTACATTATCATACAAACTTAACTTCATATACTTCACTATTTTTTATTGTTTTGCGCCATTTTGTTAATTGAATTGACTTCTTTATTGAAATACATACGCATATATGCATGATTATCTATATATTTGCAGTCGAGTTAAAAAGTTGTGTTCACCATTCAATTTTGAAAATAGGAAAGGGAACTTGCACAGGCTATGGAATACTGACTAAAATGTTCAAGCAAATTAGAGGCAGCTAAATATAAGGCGCTCAAATCTCGTTTTCAAATATTATACGCAAACTACGAATTTGCATTTATTGTTTTAATGAAAGTGTGGCTGTACCCAAAAACGCATTGGTGCAAAGAATCAGTATTTTTTTTTATTTCTGAACCACAGTCGATGAAAGTATATAATTTGCGCAACTTTATAAAAAATATGTATTGTTATGATTTGGAAATAAAAGAGACTGATGGATTTGCATTTATGCGTTTAAGGAGCCAGCCAGTATATTGGTTTTTTATAACTGCGTGAAATTTTACTGCCACATTTATTGAGTTTGCCTTCCGCCGAAAAAAAAGATACGGTTTAATTAAAATTTGCTGCAACTCAGTTTAAAGTTCAATTATATATGTAAATGAATAACTGCAAGCAGGGACGCTTATTTTGCAAAGCTTTGACATATTTTTTGCATTGTGTTTTTGAGGTTAATGATGATTATCTAAGGAATAAGAATTATATATTTATATGCACTTTTACCACATAGATTGCTGTGTGTTGAGCACTTTAAATGGCGATTTAAGATGAATGTACAAACTTTGATTAAATAAAATGCAAGTTTGTTTACAATAGTTGTAAAATATTTGTTTGATTTAAATAAAAATCGAACGCACTCTTGAGAGATTCCGCTAAACGCGCAGAGCTCTAAATTACTAAAACACGCCGAGACACCTAAACTAGATTTTGGGTCAGAGATTATGAATCTGTATACCGTTTTTCTAGATCAGGTCTTTTTCCAAATATATTTCCATTTTAATTTGCATCGTGAATGAAAAAAATGCGAACTTTAGGGGAGAGAAAATTAAAATATAACGGATTTTTTTTCAATCATCAAATTGGAGCTGACGTAGGGCCCGTGGGGGACGGGCGCTGGGGGAAAAAACACGTCCAACAACAAGGTGGGAAGANTGATTTTGGGTCAGAGATTATGAATCTGTATACCGTTTTTCTAGATTAGGTCTTTTTCCAAATATATTTCCATTTTAATTTGCATCGTGAATGAAAAAAATGCAAACTTTAAGGGAGAGAAAATTAAAATATAACGGATTTTTTTTCAATCAATAAATTGGAGCTGACGTAGGGCCCACGGGGGACGGGCGCTGGGGGAAAAAACACGTCCAACAACAAGGTGGGAAGAGTGCTTAACACCAGGCAATTTCCCTCTACACCCACCAAAGCTACTGAAGTTATCTCGGTACTTTTTTTTACAAAATTCTATTTAGTTGAAATGGTCTGGGCGAAATTCTTGCCTGCCTGCTTTGATAATAAATTTTCGACAAGAGACAACAGTGAAAGGTCCAGTGCAAAAAACTAGACCCTAGTTCCATTTAAATTTTCAACGATGGCTCTAAGCTAAATACATAGTAAGTTCGGCAGCAACACTCAGAATGAGTTCATAAAACTAATAACCAGCGCTTCGATTTAAAGAAAAGTAACTAACGTTTTTACGTACCTTTTCAACCTTCTATCTCTAAAAGACCCGACCACCCAAGCAAGCGGATATGCATACATTCGTAAATACATATAGCACAACTTATTGCTAAATTTCGGAATAACTACCTGCGTCTACCGGAGTATTGTGGTGTCTTCCAAGCTGAATTAAGAAATATGCGTNTTCTAGTTCATAAAACTAATAACCAGCGCTTCGATTTAAAGAAAAGTAACTAACGTTTTTACGTACCTTTTCAACCTTCTATCTGTAAAAGACCCGACCACCTAAGCAAGCGGATATGCATACATTCGTAAATACATATAGCACAACTTATTGCTAAATTTCGGAATAACTACCTGTGTCTACCGGAGTATTGTGGTGTCTTCCAAGCTGAATTAAGAAATATGCGTACAAAGAAGGCTGCTCTCCTGTAATACAAAAGCTCCATTACCGCGTACACTGAAAACCAGACTTCGATTTAATATCCACAGTGCGACAATCAGCCTCATTGCGAGAGTCGTGCCGAATGCAAGTCGTTTTTCGAGAGTCGAATCATATCGAAAATTTAGCGTCATTGCCTCAAATTTCCACTCGACTAGTGTATTAAAACGGAAGAACTTGGCAGCACTGCATAGTTTTCGACAATTTTCGTCGTTTACTTATTTCAGCACGACAGTAGACAATGCTAATGTTGTCGAGTCGTACAATTCAGCCTAATTTACGACTTACGCAATNATCTCTTCGAACGTAGCAATTCAAGGAACAATGCGTCACCTTAATTCCCAAAGGCGGTACACACTACACCTTTTGCGAAACTACGTTTATCACAGAGTTTGGTAGAATATATTAAAATAAACATTCAATAAAAATTTTAAAGTATTAGCACCAAAAACAACCGAGTTATATGCCACTTTTTAAAAAGCCCTACTTGTTTTTGATATACNCTCTTCGAACGTAGCAATTCAACGAACAATGCGTCACCTTAATTCCCAAAGGCGGTACACACTACACTTTTTGCGAAACTACGTTTATCACAGAGTTTGGTAGAATATATTAAAATAAACATTCAATAAAAATTTTAAAGTATTAGCACCAAAAATAACCGAGTTATATGCCACTTTTTAAAAAGCCCTACTTGTTTTTGATATACTTTTTATAATCAGCCTCATTGCGACAGTCGTGTCGAGTGAAAGTCGTTTTTCGAGAGTCGAATCGTATCGAAAATTGCATGTCATTGCCTAAAATTTCGACTCGACTAGTGTATTAAAACGGAAAAANATTTTCGAGAGTCGAATCGTATCGAAAATTGCATGTCATTGCCTAAAGTTTCGACTCGACTAGTGTATTAAAACGGAAAAACTTGGCAGCACTGCATAGTTTTCGACGATTTTTGTCGTTATTTCAGCACGACAATAGACAATGCCAATGTTTTAGCCTAATTTACGACTTACGCAATGAGGACCTTTGTGATTTAAGGAAACGAATGGTTCCAAGCCATTTGTTTATGCGGCATAGAACTATGCCTGAAAATAGCATTGTGAACGATCTGACACGGGAGGGCATTAATCTGTAGTCGTACAATTCTGCCCTAAATGACGTCAAGCAAACTATCTTCAAATGAACAAGACCACAAGAACCACACGATTGGCCACGAATTTGCGAAAGCGGTTCTGAGTCTCTAGTTCTCCTTGATCATCTATCGATTACCTCAGAGTTGGCTTTATCAACGGACACTCTTAAATGGCAATAAACGAAGAGCGTAANTAACGAATGGTTCCAAGCCATTTGTTTATGCGGCATAGAACTATGCCTGAAAATAGCATTGTGAACGATCTGACATGGGAGGGCATTAATCTGTAGTCGTACAATTCTGCCCTAAATTACGTAAAGCAAACTATCTTCAAACGAACAAGATCACAAGAACCACACGATTGGCTACGAATTTGCGAAAGCGGTTCTGAGTCTCTAGTCCTTGATCATCTATCGATTACCTCAGGGTTGGCTTTATCAACGGACACTCTTAAATGGCAATAAACGAAGAGCGTAAAGCCTTGCCCTCTAATAATTTCCACCGCAGTTGCAGAAACGAGGAGGAAGGTAAAGATCATCGAGCACTTTGGAAAAATAGATAAAATCAAAGCACAGTCTTTTGAAATAAGGTACATATGGTCACCGTACCCATACGCCATACGTGTATTTGCAAGGCGTATGAGTAACATTCTTTTCTGTTCATATTTGTGTTCGTATGGAATAGTAGCTTATGTCGGGAAGCCGGCTTTAATATAATGCGGCATTCTCTTTATGCCTTGAACGACAAGGATTTTTTTTGATGAGACTTAATAAGAATATTGACTTGCTAGTATCGGAACTATTTATTGCACGTTTATTGGGCAAAATTTCTTCAACTGCTCAGCCCCAGTGAGTCATTCGCAATCGTATGCTGCGAATGCCGATTTATACTAAAGCCAACCTTTCGACATAAGCAACTATTCCATACGAACACAGATTTTATACAAAAAATCATTGCGCATTTTCAATTGGATTATTCGCAACTGTTTTATTTCGCCATCGGAAAAATTTAAGGAAAATCTTTTAATTAAAAAAATTTTTACCTGTTAAAGTTGAAATGAAAATATCTTTGGACCATTACCTGTTCTAGAAAAACGGTGTTCAGGTGCATAATNGCAAGGCGTATGAGTAACATTCTTTTCTGTTCATATTTGCGTTCGTATGGAATAGTAGCTTATGTCGGGAAGCCGGCTTTAATATAATGCGGCATTCTCTTTATGCCTTGAACGACAAGGAATTTTTTTGATGAGACTTAATAAGAATATTGACTTGCTAGTATCGGAACTATTTATTGCACGTTTATTGGGCAAAACTTCTTCAACTGCTCAGCCCCAGTGAGTCATTCGCAATCGTATGCTGCGAATGCCGATTTATACTAAAGCCAACCTTTCGACATAAGCAACTATTCCATACGAACACAGATTTTATACAAAAAATCATTGCGCATTTTCAATTGGATTATTCGCAACTGTTTTATTTCGCCATCGGAAAAATTTAAGGAAAATCTTTTAATTAAAAAAATTTTTACCTGTTAAANGCAATTGGATTATTCGCAATCGGAAAAATTTAAGGAAAATCTTTTAATTAAAAAAATTTTTACCTGTTAAAGTTGAAATGAAAATATCTTTGGACCATTACCTGTTCTAGAAAAACGGTGTTCAGGTGCATAATCTACGATCGAAAATTATTAATTAAATTAAGTTTTGGCGATTTTTTGTGTCACTTCAAAACTTGAGATTTTACCCTCTAATGTTATTGTTATTGAAAATCACTATTCCAGCAAATTGAGCCATTTGTTCAAATCATATATTCATTGAAATCAAACCACATAAACATACTGAGTGATTTTATTTTTCTTTTATTTCTTCAAACAAAAAATGTTACATAAGTAGTTTATTTGCAGTTCGTCACTTAACTGAATTTTAGTAATTTATTTCGCTACAAATTCAAGAAAATTTTACAAAAAAAAAAAACTAACTTAAACTAAAAATCATGTATGTTTACCTTATATTTGGGGTTTAGTTGAATTTTTTTACTTANTTGTTACATACGTAGTTTATTTGCAGTTCGTCACTTAACTGAATTTTAGTAATTTATTTCGCTACAAATTCAAGAAAATTTTCCAAAAAAAAAAAAAACTAACTTAAACTAAAAATCATGTATGTTTACCTTATATTTGGGGTTTAGTTGAATTTTTTTACTTAAATTAAATTACATAAACAGGAGACACCACAGCTTTAACTTAAATTAAAAATAGTTTGATTTAAACTAAACTCACACAGTAAATACTCAATAAAAATACATTTAAGAAATACTTAAAAAATGAGCGAGAAAAAAATACATAAAAAATAATTTTAGGATCGTGAGAAAGTCTGCTTAAAGTTAAATTAAATTTAATATTTAGTCGAACCACAAAAACCACACTTAGCATACCGCTTTGCTGGACGCTCTCTTGATCACTAAAGCTCCGCAATAACTCGTATTTGTCTCATTGCGCGCTTTTACTTTCTCTCCATTCTCTTACTATCCGTCCACCCAGTTTAAAATACTCTTTCGCCTTCCTCTAATCACACAAATGGCCCGGCAAAGTAGATCTTTCGCTTACTCGGTAGCGGCTTCGTGCTCAAGCCCGAACCTTCGATGAATTTCTCGAAGTTAGCTAAATTCTTCTTAATTTTCTTTGCTTTAGCATGGTGCTGCTGCACCACTGCTGGCGAAGGTGGCACCAGCGGCGAACTTTCACCGAACATTGGAAAGTTCACAGCTTCACAAATGGCCGCATTTAAAGCGGCTACTTTTTCGAGTTTAGTATTCTCAACGTCCTGCGTCGTGTGCTTCATGATTGTCAGCTGGGGTTTTGCCGTCCTTTTATTTTCCACTACACTTTCTTCGCTCTTCTCCTCGGCGCTTTCGTTGTCCGGCTCACTGCCAGCACTTAGTATATCAGGCTTATCGCCAGCAAGTGAGAATTCTTCATCCAAGTTATACTCATCGGCTGCAGTCGCAATACTTTCACCATCTTCGTGTATGCCGGCGAGCATAGTGCCGTTATTGAGCGTATCGCTCACTTTGAGCAGATCGGGTTGTTGTGATGGTGTTCGGCCATACTCGGCATCCAAATTGTACCAATCGAATTCAGCTTGCATAGGCATATTGGTCGGCGTGTTAATCTCCAATTTCTGTTGCAGTGTCGTTTTTGTGGCGCTTGCCGGCTTCGCAGGCGTCGTGAATGTCAGACGCGCTGTGGGCGTAGTTGGCGAGTTGGGCAAACTCATGCGCTTATTGATTTCGGCTAGTATGTTCGGCATATGCTTGCGTTTGTATTGCAGTGGGCTGGGTGTATGCAGGTGTAGCTTGAGCGCGCTGGGGTCCGGACGGTTGGGCGATTTAATAGGCGTGTTCAGGTAGTCCACTGTTGCGGGACCGAGTACCTTCGGTGTGCTGTTATTATTATTTGGGGAGCTTATGCCAGCGGAATTCGGCTTTGTCGCAGTCGCAGTATTGAGTATGGTGGCGTTACGCGCGTTCTGCAGTTTCATATTAGGCGTTTCTACTTTAGGTGACATCAATAGGTAATCACTTGAGGGCATTGGGCGCTTTAGCGCTTGCAGTTGCTGTGGTTGCGGAAACTTTGACTGTTTCGGCGCTATTATGGCCGCCACATTCGGCAGTTTTGGTACATCAGCGAAAATCTCTTCGATCTCATCAGTCTTTTGGGAGACGGGGCATGTCTCATCCGAGGCAACCGTCGACACTTCTGCGTCCAGTTCGGAGATAGGCGCTTCAAGCCCCAAATTTGACTCTGAATCAGCTTCCGACTCGGGCGCCTTGTGCACATCTGCGACAATTTGCACACTAGTTATGCCAACATTTACCTCCGAAATTGAGCAGTAGTCCGGTTCAGGTGCTGCAGGTCCGTCCTGGTGCAGGTGTTCGTCTTGCAGCTCGTCAAGTTGCTGCAATGATTTCTTGAACTTCAACAAGTTTGCCGGCTTCGGCGGCAATGCTGGCGGTATTTTTGGTACTTTTACAACTGCGCTCACAGCGTTGCTTGTTGCATTAGTCGCCGTTGTTTTGGCAGCAGTGGACTCCATGTCTACATAGAGATTTGAGGAATTATGCTCGGACCCGATCGGTTCGTATTCGTTGCTATAAATACTCTCATAGTTAAGCGTTTCGAGGCGTTCGTGTTCGGGTACTTCGGCAAGCATGCCGCCTCGCGCGATATTACCCGTTGCAGTCTTTGTTGAGGCGGCTTGTTGTGTGGCTTGCGGATAGTAGCTCATGGAATGATATTGCGCTAGATTTGAGATCATTGCGTCGTTCGTAGTTTGCGCATCCTGCGCTACGTCATCATCGACATCTTCGTCCTCCTCGTCGTGTTCGTCGTTGCGTGGCACATGCACCATGCTATTCTTGGTTGAGAAGTGCACGCGCTTGCGTGTCAGCGTGCCATTTCGAGATGGCTGCCCATCGCTAGAGTGGCTATTGTTGCGCGAGCTGCGTCGTCCGCTCAGTGAGCTGCGGCGTGGCAAGTTGGCTGTGGAAGTGGAATTGCTGTAGCCCACTTGCAGGCATTGCGCGAGCTTGCTGCCTGCAGTGGTCGCTTCATTTGCGCGCTCGGCCATCGGCTCCTCCATGGACTGCTGCAGCAGGATCTGATTGACACACTCAAGCACAGGATTAACAGCACCGTGGGCATACGATTTGCTTGCGGCTGTAGTTGGTGTGATTTCCTCCTGATCGGAGGCGCTGGCATACCAATCGTCGGTGGAGGTTTCGTACACTTGCTTGGGCGAAGCCTCGGAAAAGTCAGTAGAACGGCGCATCACAATCTTAATGCTGCGGCCGCCATCATCCTCTGGCTCTTCGAAGTCGTCATCTTGTGTGGGTGAAAATATGCCATCGTCTTCTTCAATCTGAGGTGTGGCAGTCTTGGCGCTATTTTTGCTGCAACTGCTTAGGCTACCTTTGCTGTTGCTGCTGCTCTTGCTGCTCAGTCGTGAAACAGATCGCACTGTGCCCTCCATGCCACTCTGCTCTGACTCGCGTTCACTTTCACCCTTCACGCCGTGCATGCGTTCAATGGTGCGCGAGTAGATGTTGAGCTTTTCGTAGCTGGTTTGCGAGTCATCGCGGCTGATGGTGCTCGTATTCTCCTCCGAATTGTTGTCCAACGCTGGATCGTCGATGTTCATCGCACGTGAACGCATGTAGTCGCGGAAAGTGCCGGAGGTGCGTTTGCTGGTGTAGCGTACACTGCGCCGGGCTCCGTAAAACGACGATGAGACTGTATCATCACTCGATGAGCCGTGCTCAGTGGTGTGGTCAACTGGAGGGGGCGAGAAAACAAATTACATACGTGAGTCAAAACAAATACCCATAAACTGAATATAGCAAATACTCACCATTTTTTCTCGTACCATCTTTCTGCGTATTCTGTGTCCAGCTCTCATTAAGGTCAATGTCATAGAATTGCTTCTTACAATTAATGCATTGCAAAGCTTCGAGTACCAAACAGTCTTCCAGCAATTGTCGATCGCTGTACGCCGATGCTGGCGCAGTTCCACGCTCCAGCGCTGATTTCTTCGTTTTTCCGCTTCGCTCATCATCATCCTCGCCCCCACACTCACCCTCAGCCTCAGTCTCGGGCTCACCATCCTCTACCACGCCTTCGTCGCGTGCATTTTCTCCTTCTGCCTCAGTGATTTTTATCAGTCGCTTACGCAACGCACGATTTTGTTGCACCAAGCGACATATCTCCGTGTCCTTCTCCAATAGGCGGTGATTCACCGCTATCATATCCTTTTTCAGCTTGGACTCAAAGCAAAGCAGCGACTTAGCCACACAGGCGAGGTCTTCGCTACGCCGCCGCTTCTCCTTTGCTAGCTCGCGTTGAAGCAGCTTATTCTGCTGTTCAAAATGTGAGATCATTGAGATGAGTTTGCGGCGTTGCGCACGTTCTGGCGTCAGCTGCTGCGCGCCGCTGGAATGGGCAGGGTCAGCTGAGTCGGCGTTTGGTGAGGACTTTCTGCGTTCGCATAGTGGCGCACAATCGCCCGACGATGAGGCGGATGAGGTGCGCTGTAAGTCAATGGATTTCAGGGATAATGAGGTGGTTTTCGATGAGAGAGTCGAGGATGCCGATGAGGATGAGTTATTCGACGAAGAGTAGTCGGAAGCCTGTAAAAAACAGAAACAGGGTTATACGTTTGCATATGCTTTATGGAAAGAAGTCGCATGTACATTTTCTGTAAGAAATAATTTCGAACTTCGAAGCAAGAACGTTTTTTCTGATCAAGCGGAAATATACCTTGGATTTTCAAACAATTTATCTGCATACGTGAAATCAGCACATTATTTTATAAACCCCTCAAAAGATAGAACGCTTCAGCTTTCGTTCGACGAAGTATTTTTTTTTTCGTTTGATATTTATTACTGCCCGTTCCTTCCCCCATTAGTTTTCCCCACCCTTTCTGCGTAGCATTTCTTATCAAAACATCGCTTTCAGCAGCTTAGGTAAATATGAACAGTTGGGACGTTTGTTATGGAANCAGGGTCAGCTGAGTCGACGTTCGGTGAGGACTTTCTGCGTTCGCATAGTGGCGCACAATCGCCCGACGATGAGGCGGATGAGGTGCGCTGTAAGTCAATCGATTTCAGGGATAATGAGGTGGTTTTCGATGAGAGAGTCGAGGATGCCGATGAGGATGAGTTATTCGACGAAGAGTAGTCGGAAGCCTGTAAAAAACAGAAACAGGGTTATACGTTTGCATATGCTTTATGGAAAGAAGTCGCATATACATTTTCTGTAAGAAATAATTTCGAACTTCGAAGCAAGAACGTTTTTTCTGATCAAGCGGAAATAGACCTTGGATTTTCAAACAAGTTATCTGCATACGTGAAATCAGCACATTATTTTATAAACTCATCAAAAGATAGAACGCTTCAGCTTTCGTTCGACGAAGTATTTTTTTTCGTTTGATATTTATTACTGCCCGTTCCTTCCCCCATTAGTTTTCCCCACCCTTTCTGCGTAGCATTTCTTATCACAACATCGCTTTCAGCAGCTTAGGTAAATATGAACAGTTGGGACGTTTGTTATGGAAAGTTTTTGTAAACAATACCATCCTTTGTTTTTGTGTGTCCACATTTTATCAGATTTTATCGAAAAAATCAATTTAATTCGCGCTGGAGGTGTCTGTAGGTAACTCATTTATGGCGCTATATTAGCTGTCATCAGTTAATGGGCAAAGTGGTTGTTACGAGTATATTGAACGTATGCCTTACTAAAACATTTGTTGTTTTTTATATACTACTTATGTTGTCATTTGTACTAATAGTGCTGTCACTCGGTCGGAGCATGTTACATGCCATCAAAGTGAGTGTTAATGCGAAATATTAACAATCCTTTTTTTTTTGGTGATACGAGGCAAGAGCGCTAGAAAACTCCAGTAAATTTAGATAAATAAATATTTTCGCAGATTTAAGTCCAAATGAAGATTAAATAAAATAATAATAATAAATGTAAAGAGGCCCAACACAGAACCAAAACAACGCAACAAAGGATAACAGCTGACATCACCGCCATCCAAGAAATGCGTTGGACGGGGCTAGGCAAGAAATATCTGGGGCCTTGCGACGTCTACTACAGCAACAAAGCGAGATTCTAAAACATGTCGCTCATCTGCGCCCATGCGCCGACGGAAGAGAAGGACGAGGCGGCCAAGGATCTCTTCTATGAGCGCTTGGAGGGCACATACGAGCGCTGCCCCGCCATGATATCAAAATCTAGCTTCGCGACTTCAATGCCAGGTTGGATCCTTGGAACCACCGTCGGAAAATTGTGCCTCCACGAAGAAACGTCCAACAACGGACTTAGGCTGATCGACTTCTCCGGGGCCTGAAATATGGTAATATGCAGTACTAGGTTTAAGCATAAAAAGATCCATCTAGCTACGTGGCAGTCTCCAGATCGAAAACCGGGAAACCAAGTCGAACATGTTGTTCTTAGAGAGTATTCATTAACAAACTGCCACCACCGAAGAAGTAGTCGGATTTCAGCAAGCCCGAAAGAACAACTGGATGAGGAATGCAAAGAAGGCGCAGACAAAAAAGATGTCGCCTACAAGACACGCTGCGATATCGATTAAGGAAACCACAGAGAGAAGCGACACGTATTTGGCGCAATAAGAAGAAAGAGGCCGAAATATGTGAGTGCGAATATCTTGAAATGCTGGCCCACAGGAAAAACGTCCGATAATTGTATAAGAGAGTTAGGAAACTTACGAAAGGTTTCAAGTCCCGGGCGAACTCCTGTAAGGACAACAATGGCGACTTAGTTACCGATGTTCAGAACGTACTTAAATTATGGAGGGACTACTTTTCCACCCTACTGAATGGTAGCAGAATGGAAAGTTGTGGACAAGAAGAACCCAATCTCCCAGGCGATGATGACGGAGCCGATGTTCCACAAGTTATGCGACTCAAAAACAATGAGTCTGCTGGAGCTAGTGGCCTGTCAGCTGAGCTATTCAATTACGGTGGCGAGGAGTTGATAAGGTGCAAGAGTTGATACTTTTATGCAGAATATGGTCAGATGAATGCATGCCCGACGACTGGAATTTAAGTGTGCTCTGCCCAATCCACAACAAAGGCGACCACGCCATACGATCAGCCTTCTAAGCATAGGTTACAAGGCCTTATCGAGGGTATTGTGTGAAACACTGAGACCCACCGTCAACGAACTGATTGGGAGTTATCAGTGTGGCTTTAAAACTGGGCTCGAATCGTAACATCTGTTCACGGATCGAAAACCATGCGAAAAAAATTACGTCATACCGTCAGTCGCATAAGCTGAATGGGGTAAAGAGTACGTTCACGTATGTAATAATCCGAAAAATGTGTTTTTACGTGACGAGTAATACGATATCGTATGTGACGATTCGAGCCCTGGCAAATCTACCATAGAACAGATATTCACAATACGCCAAATCTTGGAACCCGGGAGAAAAGGATCGACACTTACCACCTATTTATCGATTTCAAAGCCTCTTCCGAGAACACGCAAAGAAGTTGTCTTTAAGCCGCGATCTCTGAATTCGGTATGCCCGTGAAATTGATGCGGCTGTGTAAAATGACCTCTTCGAGCCGTTTTCCACCAAATGGAGTTTCAGACAGGGCGACTCCCTTTCATGTGATTTCTTTAATCTGATGTTTGAGAAGATAATCATGCCTATTACCGTGTTCGACGAATTATATCCACAAGGATCTTATCAAAATCGCACTGGTATAAAAAGTGAGTGAGTAGGATTAGATTCGTGTGAATGGCATCCCTCGGATATATCCTTTTTCCGGTCTGACAGATACCATTCACAAGAATCTAATTCTTTACTCTCGCTTGTTACGACAGTGCGAATCGGATTAGACCCTTGCGGATGGCATCTGTCAGATACCGCATTAGGCATGAATAACAGCTGCAGAACTGAACCGTTCAGGATCAATTATTTTCAAGACCATACAACATCGGCAATAAGAGCCAAGAAGTCTGTTAAGCCTTTTCCAAGCTGGATAAAGAAGCACAGCGATTGGGTCTGGTGGTAAACGAGGACAAGACGAAGTATCACCTGCAAACAGTCAGCGCATTCGCTGCCCAGAAAGAAGAGAATTGCGTTCACTTGGAAACCTGCATTAACACCGAGCGGATGTTCGATACTCACTGTAAGTCCGTGTGGTTAACTTAGGATATCCAAACCAAGAAATGTAGGATTGTTTTAAGCGTGGTATTAGTCTTTATTCACAATAAAACCATGGGCGTTTTCTCTTTCATTGAAGTCTGTGTTAATAATAATACAAAATATGTCAGTTTTTGGCCGAGCTTCTCCTACGATTTGTGGCGAGCGCCTTGAT